CCACTTATGATAAAGTCTCAGAGAAACAGGAATAGATATTATGAATCTCCTCAAGTGATAAAGAATATCTATAAAATACCTACAGCTAACATCAAACTTCATAGTGAAAGTCTGAATACTTTCCCCTAAGATTAAGAACAAGGTGAGGAAGTCTGCTCTTACTGGTCTTATTCAAGATAGTGCTGAAAACTCTAAGCAGTAAAATCAAGCAAGAAGGGGAAATAAAAGTTGTTCAGATCAGAAAGGAAGAAATAAAACTGCCCCTATTTAGAGATGACATGAAAATCTAAAAAAGTCTCCAAAATAACCTCCTAGAACTTATATGTGGTGAGCTCAACAAGGTCACCGGATACAAGATTAACATACAAAAAACATCAACTATATTTCTATATTCTAGAAATTAACAAATAGACCCCTAAATTAAAAATACAAACTACTTACAACTGCTTTAAAAAAGAAATAAATATATAGGACTAGTATGCTGAAAACTACACAACACTGATAAAAAAAATCAAAGATCAATTAAATGGACAGACATATTGTATTCATGGGTTCAACAATGTAAAAATGTCAGTTCTCTCCAAATGGATACAGATTCAACACAATTCCTATCAAAATCCTGTAAGACTTTTTTTATTTTTTTGTAGAACAGAAATAAAGTTTATATGGAAAGATAAAGGAACTAGAGTAGCTAACAGAATTTTTTAAATGAAGGAAAAAGTGGGAGGAATCAGTTGACCTAATTTTAAAATTTATTATATCACTAGAGTAATTAAGACTGTGGATATTGGTAGAAGGACATCTAGGTACATAGATCAATGGGCCAGAACAGAGAACCCAGAAATAGACTCACACAAATATTCCAACTGATTTCTGACAAAGGAGAAAAAAACAATTCAATGGAAGAAAGAGAGCTTTTCAAAAAACTGTGCTAGAACAGACATTCATAGACATAAAAATGAACTTCAACTTAAGTCTCATGCTTCATACAAACATTAACTCAAAATGGATCAAGGTATTTTTCCAATATGATATAAATCAAATAGCTAGCAAGAAGAAATACAACCAAATTTTAGTTCTTTGTGGGAGCAGGCTGTGAGCTGACAGGGTCCTCACAGCCTGTGGAACAGTTCAAACGTTCCACCCGCACTAATCCAAGAAGAGAAAAGAATAGCTGAAGCCGCAGGAGCGTCCACAAAGTTGCAAAATGCGTAACAAAATGTAACCTGCTTGTGTGTTGCCTTACAACTACGTCCACGACCGCCCCCCCCCCCCACTAACCCCTGACCCAAAAGGTCCTGAGGAAGTGTCTCCGAACGACCTGAGACCCGGTGGAATGATATCGGTAAAGCTTCCTCTAGTGAGTGTCTCGGTTTGGCCGAGACCCGATGGAATGATATCGGTCATCTCCCTTATTTGGTTTTTTTGTTTTGTTTTGTTTTTTATTTATTTTTTTTATTTAAGCTGGGCCATCCTGCCACCGGTTGGCAGCTCAGCGGCTGCTCAGCTGTGGCCGGGCATCTCATCTCCCTTATTTGGAAGGACACGGTGGAGTACGCTGTCCTGGGGGTCGTGCAGGCTGTGTGAAGGCATAGTACATGTTGGGGTACAGTGGGAGCTGGTTAATGGAAAACAGCCTTAAGGCACATGACACACTGGTCTTTGAGTAATGCAGTTTCACTTCCTTGTAATTTTCTCAATAAAAGCCATGCAACCACCTGATTCGGGGCTCAGTCCTCGAGGCTGATGCCCCCTGGTCCCGCTTTAGCCTTATCTTTGTCTCTTGTGCTCTTTAACTCTGCGTCGCCCCTCTCGTTTTCCCACTGCCCTTGCCATGCAGGACGTGACACTTGTGCACTTAGAGAAGTGCATAACAGGATGTAACTTACTATGTCTAACCCGATAAACAGACCCCCTGCAGCTGTTTACTGCTCTCTGCAGCTGCTTGGTACTATATAAGCTTTCTGCAAAAAATAAACATGGCCATTGCTCCGCCATCAGCGGTCAGTGAACCTCCCGATCCCAGCTTTTGTCTCTGTGTCTTTCTTTTCTAATCTCCCACGCAGTCCACTAGGGTAGCTTCGGTTGACGAGCGGGTCTCGACAGTTCTTCTGTTAGCAATAAAAAATTTTCCTTCACAATCATAGAACAAAATGGACTTAACATGGACTTAAACTGTAAGAATTTTAGAACAAAACATAGAAAAAAATCTTTGGGCTCTAACCCTAACAGTGTTCTTAGACTTGACATTAAAATTACAATCCATAAAAGGAAAAATTAATGAACTAGATTTCATCAAAATAAAAAAACTTTTACTTTGTGAAAGACCCTGCTAAAAAAATGGAGAAAAATAAAACGGTACAGGTTGGGAGAAAATATTAGCAAATCACATATCCAACAAAAGATATGTGATTTATAGAATATATATATATATTCTATATAGATTTATAGAATATATAAAGAACACTCACAATTCAATAGTAAAAAAACAAGCAATCCAATTAGAAAATGGGCAAAAGACATAAAGCAACATTTCACCAAACAAGATATACAGATGGCAAATAAGCACATGAAAAGATATTCAACATCAGAAGCCATTAGAGAAATGCAAATTAAAACCACAATGAGTTACCACTACATATGCATACCTATCAAACTGGCTAAAATAAAAATACAACACCAAATGCAAATACTAACAAGGATGCAGAGAAACTGGGTCACTCCTACATTGCTGATGGGAATATACAAAATGATAGAGGCACTCTGGAAAAGTTTGGCAATTTCTTTAAAAAACAAACAAAAAACCTAAACATGAAACTACCATACCACCTAGCCATTTCGCTCCTGGGTATTTATTCCAAAGAAATAAAAGACTTCTATTCACACACACACAAAACAGTAACATGAATATTTACAGCAGCTTTAGTCCTAATAGCCAAAGACTTGAAATAAACCAGATGTTTTTCAAGGACTGAATAAACCAACGGTGGTACATCCACACCATGGAGTACTTCTCAGCAATAAAAAGAACAAGCTACTGATAGACACAACAACCTGGATGAATCTCCAGAGATTAGCCAAAAGCCAATCCCAAAAGTTCCCCAAAAGGTATTTTATGATTCCATGAAATGATGAAATTATAGAGATGAAGAACAGACTAGTGGTTTCCAGAGGTGAAGGATGGGTGAGGTTAGGGAGGGAGGTAGGTGTGGCTATAAAAGGGCAACCTGAGAGACCCTTGTGGTGACGGAAATATTCTGTATATGACAATATTAATGTCAATATTCTGGTTGTTAACACCGTATTGTAGTTTGGCCAAATGTATCATTGGGGAAAACTAGGTAAAGGGTACCTGGGATGTCTCTCTGTGTTATTTCTCACAAATGCATGTAAATCTACAATTATCTGAAAACAAGAACTTCAATTAAAAGTGAAAGGCGGGCTGGCCGAGTGGTGCGATGGTTAAGAACTGGCTTGGGACGCCAGAGGGCCCCGGTTCAGATCCCACATATGAGGGCCAGTGACACTGCCCTCCACAGCTAAGATGCTGAACAACAGCTCAACCTGGAGCTGGGCTGCCGTGAGGCGACGGCGACGGCGTAGGCTGCAGCCCCTGTGACAGTGGGTTGCCATGGGCTACCATATGTAGACAGCAGCCAGCGTGGGCGTCCAGCAGCCGCAGTGAGCGGCCGTCCGGAAGCCGGCGACTGATCTGCCTCGCCTGGGAAGAGCACAATGATGATGCCAACTTGGGCCAATGAAGCAACGTCTTCCACAACTAGACTGAAGAACAAAACGACAGCAACTTGTCTGTTCCCTTCCCCCAATTCCCCAGCACTGTTCCCATCCCCCCAATTCCCCAATTAAAAGAAAAATAAAATAAAATAAAAAAAAGTGAAAGGCATGAGAGAAAAGAAGAAACCAAGCCAGGAGATTCAGACTGACTGAGAGACTAAGAAAGCAAGCAACTACCTCCAAGTACCCTTCTAAACCTTGGGTGGGTAGTGGTAGGTGGGGCTTCATTTCTGTTTTCTCATAGCAGGATACTCCTAAGTGCTTTCCTACTATTTATTTTTTCTTTACTGGATTATCTTCTTTCCTCTGCTCCTTTCCTCTGATTTTCTTCTTTCCTCTGCCTAGGATCTTAGCAAGATCCTTGGTAACATAGAGGAATGGAAAAAGGTGCAAGCATGTGACAAACCCATGTTCCTTTCCTTCTTCCTCTACTACAGGCCCAATCTAAACGACAAAATACATTTCCAAAGATGCCAGCTACACAAGGGGAGAGAAAAGAGATAAAAGAAGCTAAGGAAGAAGAAGGCCAGTAGAAGTAATTCAAGTTGTATCCATCAATAGATGAATGGATAAACAAAATGTGGCATATGCATACAGTGGAATACCAGTCAGAAATAAAAAGGAAGGAAACTCTGACACCTGCTACAACATGGATGAACCTTGAGGACATCATGCTCAGTGAAATAAGCCAGACACAAAAAGACAAATACTGTGTGATTCCTCTTATAATACGGTACCAGAGTGATCAAATTCATAGAGACAGAAAGTAGAATGGTGGTCACCACGGGCCGCGGGAGAGAAACATAGGGGAGTTTTTGTTTAATGGTACCGTGTTTCAGTTGGGAAAGAAAAAAGTTTTGGAGATGGATTGTGGTGCTGGATGCACAACACTGTGAATGTACTTAATGCCACTGAATTATACATTTAAAAATGGTTAAAATAGTAACTTATATGTTATGTATATTTTAACATAATTTTTAAAAAGTTAATTATGAATAAAACACACAGAAGAGGGCCTTCAATGCCTTCATGCTTTGGGGAGGGATGGCATCTTTCATTGAACTAAACCTTTGAAATCTAGAACATGAGTTTGAAATCACAAGTGGAACTCAGTTTTTTTAAGACTCAAAGCAACTTCCTGACAACATCTTACTAGGAAAATCGCCACACAGGTGATTGTACACAGTCATAAAAGATGCCCTTACCAGGAAATGTTGGCCGGACTTCTGGATTCGTCTCCCAGCATTCCTTCATGATGCTGATAATCTCCTTAGGACAGTATTCAATGATGTCTTCCACATTTGGTCTATTCCCTGATTTAATGCACATTATCAACTGCTGCTCACAGATAGCATCTATAATGCAAGACAGGCCTAAGTTGAGACTTGCCTCTCAGGCAGGGAGGTGACAGAACCTGGACAATACCACTACCCTGTCTTTGCCTAGCATATGCTTTTAGTGTAGCCACCTCATCTAGTAGGGGCAGAATAGCCCTGTGGCAAGGAGCTGACATACTCCATTGTAGTAATAATGAAACAAAATTTTAATTTCTGTAAATGAAAAACAGGACTCACAAAAAAGCTGCCTCCTGGTAGAACAAATGGAGTATTAATGAGAGTGACTTAAAATATAGAGTGATAATTGCCACTCAAGAAATAAGTACAAGGCGTTCTGGTAACACAGCCTTTACTAGAAGGCCAGAGAATGCTTTGTTGAGTCCAGAAAAATAAGCAGGGGTCATCTAGGTAAAGAATGGGGAAGGATTCAGAGAGGATGTTTCTGGGCGAGGGAAGCAGAATATAAATAGATTGGAAATTTCAGAAATCATGATGTATACCAGAAATTATGAGTAGTTAAATATAATGGGGCATATTAACTTAGGAAAGAGAGGCAAGAAATAAGACTAAAGAAAAAAGCAAAAGCCAAATCGGAAAGGACCTTGTACTCCATACTGAAGAATTTGAACTTTATCCTGAGGCCACAGGGAGCCTTGGAAGGATTTTAAATAGATGAGTGAGGTGGTCCTATTTTCTTTTGGGACGACCAGCTTGGCGGCAGTGTGAATGGTAGATGTGCAACATCTACCATTGCAACAGAAATACAAAGTGTTTGAATTTGAACTAAACAGAGTCCAGTGGTGACAGACAGAAGTGGATGGATTCAGGATATATCTTGAATCATATGTATACCTTGAATTCACAGGTTTTGATGACTGATTCGAAGTGAGAGAAAAAGGACAAGGTTGAGTCTGGGATGACTAAGGTTTCTGGTCAGGCAACTCAGTAGATGGATGGTGATGCCATCTGCTGTCATAAGAGGAGCAAAGCTGAGTGGGGGACAGGGAGAGCACTTGGAAGACGAATTCGTTTGGGGGTATGTTGCTTTGGGGTACCTCTGGTACATGTAATGGATCTGACTAATAGACAAGTGGGTGTCCATGTCAGGGCTAAAGATAAGAGATTTGAGAGGCATGGGCAAAGAGGTGATCATTAAACCATGGGAGCTAATAATCACCCAATGAAAAATGGATAGGAAAATGTCCATTACCTTAGGCACTTAACAAACTGAAGAATGACTACTTATGTATCTGTTCCCCTGCATGAACCATGTCTTTCTCATTTCTGTATTTCCAATTCTGTTTAAAGTGCCCACATAAGTTCTGAAATAATTGTTCAATGAAGGAATAAGTGAACGGATGAAAGCATGAAGTGTAAGACTTGTGGTATTAAAGTTTAGTCCTCATAAGCAAGCTTTCCTGTCCCAGAAGCATCTGGGAATTTTACAGTACCTCCCAAACTTAGATGCATTATCAAGGCTCCTTCTTGTTCTTTGATTCCTGATTCCTAAACTGAGATTACTCATTCAGTCAATAAAAATTTATTGAGTACCTACTACATCTCTGGCACTGTGTGTGTAGATACTCAGGGAATAGCACTGAATACATCAGATGTGGTCCCAGCCCTTGTGGAGCTTACAGTCTAGTGGGTCAGACAGACACTAAATGAACAAACAATTATAAATCTTAACTGGCTTCAGTGAAGCCACTATTTCATTTAACAATTCTGATTAATACCTAAATCCCACTCCTTTATAAATGTCTTACTTTCATACGGCTCCTTATTTGCAAATATTGCCCAAAGTACTATGGCAAAGCTGTACACATCTGACTTCTCTGAGGGCCTTGCATTGATGTCATTCAGGTGCTCAGGGGCCATGTAGTAGAGGGTGCCACCATTTTTCTTAGGACTATTCACTTTCCTCTGCTCATTATGTTCCTCTTTAGTCAGCTTACTCCACGTCTTAAAGGAAGCAACGCCAAGATCAGCTATCTGCAAGAGATCAAACCAATGGGATTATTCTGTGAAGGCTACAAACAAATCCTATTTGTCTTTAAATCTGGGGCTTATTCAGTGAATTTTCCAGAAATGGTTGCACTGGATAGGTTTAAAACAGATACTTCTGAACAGACTCATAGAAACTTTGTTGTATCCTCAGCCATTTGGAAAATCTCCCGTAAGAAATGTACACATGAAATTTTGGTATCTCAATTCTTACGCAATTTTTTAAAAAAACAGGAAATTGGCTGGCAGGGTTGTGGGGGAAGAAGGGAGGAGTCAAAATGAAGACATTTCTGACATGAACAACAACAAAACATATTTGTTCTAATCCCTCATTAACTCTGCATATATTTTTCAACTATTTCTGGAGCCTAGGGGGAAAAAAAGTATTTTCTTTTCAGCAGACTTGTAGAGCAGACAGTGACTACATACTACACCTTCTATTTTCCCAAATGGTGTCCAGAAGCCCATGGATGCAAGTTTCCAAGGATTCCAGACACAATGAGCATAAGGACTGTGTTGCTGCTTGTGTTGAGTGAGTAGCCTGAACCTAAGAGGAGATGGTATGGGAAGGAGAAGAAAAAAGAAAAAAAAGCAGAGAGAAAAATACCAAGGTCAGACACAAAACAATGAGGAAAGTGGCAGGGCAAAAATGACAGGACAATACAGTTAAGAAGAAATCAAAGGTGACAGTTTCAGTCTTGCCTCTAGGAATCCAAGCGCTTGGGAATGAATTTTGACATGTGATTATGTAAAACCCACAGATTCTAACCCAGAACATAAAGATATATTATTAAAGAAGGAACCTTCCTTTAAAAACAGGAATAAAATCCATCTAAGACTAGGGCAAAGTATTAGCAGCAGAATGTTCTAGCAGAGTGACGCTTGTAAAAGCAGTTCCTGAGTCCTTCCCCCAAAGCCTCTTCCCCTTTCAGATTCTTGCACTTTTGAATCCTGTTGCCAGAGCCAATTAGCTATGATGACCTGCCTAGTTAAATCTTGATCTTGAATGAACAACAACAAAATCCCTTTCTATTGCTTCCTTTCCTGCAATGTAACAGTTGGAGTTTGGAAAAAAAAAAAACAGATAAAAAATGTAGATGAATATAAATGAATACACACGAAATACAAACTCCATCAAGTCTGTATCTTCCTTTTCCATCCTTGGCAGAGCCTTTAGGCACCACCAACACCAGTTATAAAATGAGTGAGGTCTTTCTTAGAGTCTACCATGCACAGAAATGGATTTACCGTAAAGAATTAAAAGTAAAATTACCCCAATCTTCCAGAAGCCTTTAAATTATGGTTTACCTTAATGTGAAAGTCATCATCAACGAGGATATTTTCAGGCTTTAGGTCCTTGTGTATTATACCTTCTTTATGTAAATAGCACATTCCTTCGATGGTCTCCATAATGATCCTTCCTTTTACAGAAAGGGGGATACTGATCTGAAATAAGTAATATTAAGTCATGAAATGGAAAGGTAATCAAACAGGCCAAAGCAACTATTTCCCTCAAGAGTAGTGGGATCTGCACCTGAGGATCCAGTTACCAGGTTGCCTTCGCTCATACTCTGCAGCACTGCTGACATTGTAAAATAAGCCCCCTTTTGAAGAAAGAGCTCATCCTGGTGGTAAGGGTATCAGTGGTGTGCTTTGTCAGTATAAAAATAAAACTTCCATGACAATATGGCAATATATAAAAATACTATACAATTAAGCTTCTGGAGGACAAAATACTATTATTACTATTATTATTATTATTATTACTATCATTATTATTATAATTATTTAGGATGTATGCTTACCGAGCATGGTGCGTGCAATGTTTGGTCAGTGAATGGATAAATATGCAAAAAAAAAGACAAACAAATATTCTGTATGATATACTAATACCATGTTCTATTATATTTTAAATGCACAAAAAATGTCATGGCAATATATGTATGAATAACGTTAAGAGAAAAAAGAATACAAGGGAATGTGCTCATACTGATTACAAACATGTAAAGATTAATCTATGAGATAACATAATGTTAATTCTGAAATGAATTTAATATCTATTTTGTGATTTGTTATTACGTACTTCAGATCTTTGTAGAGTCTCAGGTCATTCTCACAATTGTTTTATAGTTATATGAATATATATGTTAATATAGACAATTCCAGTTTCTATTTATAGTAATTAAACATGAGATTCACTTAAGACTGAAAAACACAAACTCACTCTGTGTGTGCGCACACATACACCTGCAGTGTCTAGCTTACAAATAGGCTATTTCCTAAAAGTGTGTGTTTGTTGGTTGTTGGTAAACAGGAAAAAGTTTAAATGATGCAAGTAAGAGTCCCAAGTCAACCCCCCCAAAACATATTTAACTCATAATGTAGCTGAACTCTAGTATTCATAGTCTGATCTGTACCATACAAAAAATTGCTCGAGTTTCCCTTCTGCCGTGGTGCACTTTTGGATTTGGGAAGAAATTCTGAGCACGCAAAGTAGATGCCCTTCTCATCCCTCTGTCTGCTTCTCTACCTAGGTCCTCCTTACTTTCTTCTTGAGCCCCAATTAGTATACGTTCTCACTGCCTGACCCCCAAAATGCTTCTTGTCCCAAATGATTTATCTCCCAATCAAAATGCCTGCTTACTTCATGCAACTGATCTTACCTAATTTGGGGTAGAAGAGCAATTGGATCAAATTATAATACAATGTGTACAAGTGATTGTCTTTTATCTTTCCCATAGCTATTTGTGAGATGTAGTGATTTAAAAGAAGAATTTGTAGTTTCATAGTTGTGGGGACACGGGAGAAGATGGGGAAAGGGAGACTATCTACCATAAAGACAGGCATATCCCATCACCCCCACAGGCAATCTATGCTCTGGCAAAACCCAGTTTTTTGCAGTTTCCAAATTTGGCATACTCTCATCCCACTGCACATGCTATTCTCTCTGCCTTGGAACACTTAGTCCCTAATTCTCTGCTTCAAAACCTCTTTGTCCTTGGCTCAAGCATCCTCCTTCTGGAATCCCTCCTTATCTATCCCATGCTGGGGTGTGTGTCTCTCCCCGTGTTCCCACAGTACATGATGAGGTTGTCTAACAAAACACCATACACTATCAGAGGTCGGCAAACTGCGGCTTGTGAGCCACATGTGGCTCTTTGGGTACGTTCAGTCTCATAACTTTGCCGACCCCTGGAAGAGGCAATCCTGTCCCTCACAACAATTTAAAAATTATTTTTGAGAGCCATAAATATATTTTTACATAATCACCATTATGTGACTAATATCCTTTAAAAATTTTATAAATGAAGCTATGATAGTTTTATTTTCATTTTCAATTTTACTTCAGAGCCACACGCTCGTGAGCCACAGTTTGCTGACCCCTGGCGGCTCTTCTGTCTCAAAAGTTTGCCGACCCCTCCACTATACTGATCCCTTACCTGTCATACTCGCTACTGGTTTCTGAGCAACTAGCACAAGGTCTTGCTCTTAATAGGTACATAAACATTTAAAAATGCTTTAGAGTTATTTGGTTTTGGTACACAATTTTTATTGTCCTGTTTTAAGTCTTATTTATCCAGCATCATTGCCTCTAATGTTCTATATCTATATAGATATAGATATATAAGTTTCTTAAATGGTATCCAAGTGTAACAGTGATATTCCTTCTTCTCATACAGTCCTTTATAGTGTACATCCTTTAATGAATCAATCGATATTTGTTATCCGTTATGCATATCCCTCACATCAGGCCGTGAGCTTCACGAGGACAGGGCCTGTCTCTGAATTGTGGACCTTAGAGTGGCTGACAAAAGGGACATGGACAATTAAACTATCTGCAGGGATTGAGAGGAGGGCAAGATCACCCTCTGGGCAGGGAAAGTCAAGGAAGATTTAATGAAGGATTGACTTCAGAAAATCCAAAATATCCAACAATTCACAAAAGGATTATTTTACACCAACAAGTTAGAAAAGAACACCAAACAGTGACCATACCAGACAAGCAGCACCCCAGTCGCTGTCTGTACCCAGTGCCGCAAAGCCTCCCTACCTCAGCTTTCAGCACGTGCATCAGGTTGCCCTTTTCCATGTACTCCATCACCAGAGAGTAGTTTCCCTCTTCTATGATGATGCCTAGGAGCTTCACCACCCGCTGATGACTCAGCCTGTGCATCATCTTGCCCTCTTCAAGGAGGGACTCATTGTACCTGTGGGAGGGAAAGGTGCTGTTAAGATGGGCAGAGTTCACCCCTTTCCCCTTTGTGCCCCCAAGAAACGCAGTATACACTTTCAATGTATCCCACTGCACATGCTTTTGTCGCATTGTTCGTGTCCTGATCCCTGCGAGGCACAGACTGTTACTAGCATTAGAAAGCAGAGTAGTTTCTCATTCATCTTTATATTCCTCCTTCCCAGGGACCGGCAGTGAGGGCTCAAGGAATGTAAATGTACAGCAGCAACGAAACCGCCTGAAAAAAGGACGGTACTGGACAGTATGCAGCCTCTCTCATAACCACTATGGCAAGCAGAGGGAGAAGTAAAACAACTCCACCAATTGCTTTAAAGAGAGGGTTCCTGGAACAGCTAAGTAATGAACCACTTGTTTTTCTTTTCCATACTTACTCATAAAAATGTAAAGCAAGTAAATAAGTCTGTCTTCACTGATCCCTCCCATTTCCTTTTCATTCTCTTCCTCACCACCCTGATCTCCCCTTTCTCTATCCTTCATTTCTCTCCCATTATTTACGAGCTGTAAACTTTTCACTAACCAGCCTCAGAATCCTTATCAGCAACACAGGGATAACCACCTTACAGGGTTGACATGACGCCCGTGTGTGGACACACTAGGTCTGTCCCATTCTAAAGC